CACAGAACCTTTATTTAAACTGCAAGTAAAATTCAACATCGAAGAAAAGAGTAGCACCTTGAGTACTGCTGCTTCACCCAAAGGTTGCGGAATTCCAGCAAATTTGCAGCCGAATCGATAGCAACTACATCTACCAAAGGAGTCATAACTTCGCGTACATATGTATCTTTAATTTCGAGCACGTTCTCTATCATGTCCTGTAGCATAGAGCCATTTTCACTCAGCTACTCAGTTAAATCCATTTATAACATCCAATCAAGAAACGCTGCTGTCATATAATCTAAAATATTTCCTCCGTGACTGCCTCGGCAAGTAGTACATAGAACCTGATTTCTCAGGCCAATATGCAGACTTGGCAGTACGCTTTTCTACGGCAGAGCAGTTAATTCATACGATGCAGTGAAAGATCATTAATAATTTGGAAGTTATGAGCCTCCTTTCACGGGAAGACCCTCCAGCAGACTTTGTATTGAAAACCTACACAGATAACAACTTTGAGGTAATACCTGCTCCTCCTCTTCTATAGCTCCACTAAGTTCAGCTCCTCGTAACATAAGCTTAAGTTCATCTTCACTCACAAAAGGCTCGCTGTAAAAGACACAAAAAAAGACAAAAAAAACGGGATTAGTTCTTCGTAGATGCAGGTTCACAAACAATCAGAAAGTAAGGAAGGCGACCGAAGAACAACTTCCTTAAAACCAACTACAAGTAAGGTCTTACTGAGAACGAGATGAGAATCATCAAGATTTAGTAGAAAAGAAGAGGAGCGAAGTGAAGGATGATGAAGAGTCGATCGAACTTTGCCTGCAGTTTATGAAGAAGCAGCAATTCACATACTGTGCAATACCATTTCTGGAAAGCACAACTCACATATGTTTACCTAGAGATATTAAACTCACCCACTGCTTTTCAACCCCAAAAGCTTTAACAAACTTGTGGACATTGCAGTCACCAGACGCCCTACTGGATATAAAATCACTGATAGCCAGGCCACGGGCCTCACCTGCATCATACAATGTTTATATTTTGGATTCAAATTTTGCAAGCGTTGTAACAGATAAATCACAGCACTAGTTTTTGTTGGGGATGAAATGGATTACATCACATAACATTTGAGTCATATTGAAGCTCAAACATTATCCTCGGCAACTCAACTACCGCTTACCACTACACGCGCAACTTCTGTTGCATTATGCACAGCAATGCTTTTGGGAGCAATCTCTGTCACTAAAAGAAGAACAACCTGCACAGCCGGTTAAAACCATTTGTCATTGACCACCACGTGACCTTTAAATCACTTGAGCAAGCACCGAGGTTCCTTCAATAGTTTGACTTGATGCAACACCAGGCCACAGTATGTTAAGGATTTCTAAGGTTACCCACCGTCATGACACCTGTGGCAGCTGTGACTCCAGCTTCTCCAAATAAGGCTGTTGCTGCATCAGTCACCAATGCAGTTGCTGCAATATTACAAACCCTGTTAAACAAAAAAAAGAACAAGATAAGTGCCATTAAAATTTATGGGTGCTTAGTGCTAGATTTAAGATCCAAGTCTTAACTCAAATCCTCGCAACAACTTCACAGTCCTGAGAACCACATAATAATAATAATGTAAAATAATGACTGAAAATTCCAATAAAAAAAAATCTGCTATTCGTGCAAATATTGCCCTGAACCAAGAATCGGTACCGTCAAGTTTAGCCATAACTGAATAAATCACAAAGACAAAAAAGATGTTAGAAAGCGAAGAATCAGTACGTTGTGCCGATTAGAATAGTAGTCAGGAAGCGAGTAACATCTTGGCGGAGGAGTTGGAAGACCCCACCTTCTCCTTCCTTCTCTGCAAGTTCACGAACCTAATACAACCGCACCCAATAGATAAACAAGGATAAGTATGAGAGTGGCTTGCCAGGTTAATCACGATCTAATAAAGATTTTGTGACTGCGCAAATTGAGAACTTCATTATAGGTTGCGGGAATACATATCTGCAAACTAGCAAAAAAATAAGTGATACTTCAAGGATTTCATACCTTCCATGGCCAGAGGGTTGTGATAGCAGTCTCTGACATAGAAAAGAACGCAGATATGGCGAGCAATAGTGATAGGAGAAGCCCTTGATCCCTCAGCACCTCTAAAACCTGTTGCGTTTTGGGCCACATAGATTTCAACGTCTCCATTACGGATGCTTTTATATTTCCTACTACAGGTCGGGCCAGCACTCCTGAGCCTCCTTCACTTGCATAGGCTGGCCCACTTCCTGGCAGAGGTACCCACTACACCATAAGTCAAGTTCCTTAGCTCGTCTTAGATAAGCCAGTTATATCTTCGAACACTGAAACATGAGCATCATTTAGGATTTAAATAATTAGAAACAATAAATTCTATCTTCCTCTCAACTCATTTTCTTTTTCTGTCCCTTCATAGTTTATGTTGTGAAGTTGGAATGGTAGGAAAGAATGCTATATCGTACCTCCTGTCCACATAGCCACCCACACGGATGCAGTCCAAATCAACAGCATCCTTCCAGCTATTTTTCCGGCTTCGTTCCAATGCAGCACATTCTCTTCCGTTTTGCTTCCTACAGCATCTAAGTTCTCACTAGCTAGACCCTCAGCAACCCCTGCAAAGCCCTGTCATCTCTTGAAATGAGATAACTACTATAAAGCCGTGGCATATGGTAAAATATCATTATCACGTTGAAAAGTGCTCCTGACTGCTCTAATAATCTACTAGTATTCAACAGGAACCCTATAAGTTCGTAGTTAGAGATAGTGAACGCAGTAATCAGCATTAGATAATCCGCAATGTGAGTAGGTAAGATTCTGTAAAGAAATAACTTGACTGCACTCACTTTTTGTACAAGGAATTGTTCACCAGCCGTTTCAGCATAGTAGACGTTGTGAAGATGGTTAACAAACGCAGGCATATTCGTCTGAGATAGACCTCTCAAGTAATTTGCATAAGAAATTCCAGCTGGTCCAGCCTCGGGGATGATGTAACCCTGCCCTATGAACCAATCTAATTCCTTTGCCAGCCTGCTTGCTCGCATCAATCCGGTCATTTTGAATAACTTATCTGTATGAGGTATCAAAATTGAAAATCAGAAAAACACTGTGGAGCGATAGTCTTCCTAGTAGTGGTATTGCTCAACCAAAAGACAAAATGATGGCTTCTAAAGAAATGGCTGGTAAACTAGCAGCAAGAAATAACTGAAAACATGTGAGGATTCCTCGGAAGTCTGCACAAAACAGAGTTGTGAGCTTGCGCCAAATTACACGGTAGACTTCAGCCCTGTGAATTTATTTGCAAATAATAGGGTAATCCTATGCAGTGTGTATGGCTTAAGAAAATTGAATGCAGTCATCTTAATCACATATTTTTACACAGGTAGATGCTTGCTTCTAACAAAGATAAGCTTTTATGAAGGGCTAACCCATAGGCAAATTCCCTTAGACTTTTTTTTTTTTTTTTTTTTTTTTTTTTTTTTCCCTCTTATGCGAAGCGTGCATTGACAAGAAAAACATGAAACCTCATTGAGACATGAAGAGCTAGACTCACACGAAGGATGTGAGGAATCCATGACGATCGCTTTCATGGTTTCATAGACCATCTTGCTATCCACTAGAAACTTCAGGTATTCCTCCGTAGAATGTCCACGTTTCGCAATGTGTTCCTTCGTTTGCTCCTTGACGTGCAACCTCATAGCCTGAAAACGCAATTCTTCCACAAAGCCCTTAAATTTGTCCAGAATTCTGAACCTACGTTTTTCCGTTGTGGCAGACAGGCTAGCTCTTAGGGCCGAATACCTGGAAATGGAGCACGAAAAAGCCTTGGAAGCATTTGCTGCAAACCCTAACTCTTGGCCAAACAAACCCGAACCACAAAATCCTGTCTTGTTCTTGCACGGGATGGGCCGCACATGACCTTGATTACGGGCTTTAATTGAGCAATTTTGACACAAACTTTTCTCACGTGGCCCTCCATGCTTTAGAGCTAGCGCCAGCTCAACCACCAAAGTGGCCATCGTCTAAGCAAGTCAAAAAGTTAGACACACCCACACACACCCACATACACAGCGTAAAAACTATGATCACCATTCAACGGAAGGACAAATTCAAGGACCCAAGGATCAATTTTAGCGCTCTATTTGAATTCTATTACATTTCAAACGCCGCTGATCATGATGGCAGCCTGTAAGTGCGCCGGAGGTTCAAAGACCAAAGATAATCTACAGCTAGGAATGAGCTAACAATTAGCAGTGTAGTTCTGAATTCACTCATGAATCTTCCTTTTCCCTGCTCAAGAGCTCTAAAATGCTCCTACAGCGTCTTGAACTGGAATGCAAGGCCCCTTTAATCAAACAACGAAATTCCTCGCACCGGAAATGTTACACTCAAATTCAGAACCAAAACAACTAAAATTCCTTGCATGATAACATTCCGAATCTTGAGTGATCAGTCCTCCGAACGTCAACAATCTCAAGGCAGAGAGACGAGTTAGTACCTTGCTGTGGGGGCAAGCTTTGACGCAAACGCTCGGGACTCCACTCTCTCATAAAATCCTCATGATGACAGTGCAAGTTACATGTTCTGATGAGGAATGCAATGGAACAGCTCAGCCTGCTAGTAATCTTGTGAGCGACTGCAAGACCAAGAGAATGAGTGGATGCAGAGAGGATAAAACTGCAACAAAAGCCGCGATCCGTTCCCGAAGTTCTCAGAAAATTAAAGGACCCCCTCACTGCTGCAAGATACTTCGCTCTTTCATCAAACTCAGGTGGGCTCTGCAAAAAGAGCTTCGAGACATGAATACAAGTTGCGAAGATGGAACGTAATGATCAACTAGAAAGGAAGAAGAGAGATTCGCAGAGATTCCCAACACGGGTGCGAGGAGAGGTCACAGGATAAGGCGTCACATCGGGACGGACGGCATTGACCTCCACGGTGGAAGGAGGATTGCCACTTTTACGCATGTTGAATGAATCTGGCTCTACATAACAGGCAGTCAGGATTCTATCCTTCTTCCTGATCAGTGCCTCAAACTTGAAAAGAATAGCGAATTACCTCCGATTATTCGGCCTCACCCCATAAGTCCCGATTACGCCACCACTGCACGGTAACGGAAAGCCCCACTTCCCCAAGACCATGTGTGACTATCAGGAGTGTCTATTTTTCATTTCATTTCATCCTGCCCATGTGACGAGACGAAACGTCCGCGCACTGGGCAGCTCTCTGATTTTTTCCGCTAAATTGTCTTCTTGGAAAGTGCTTGCTTGTCCTCTTTGCAGCTCCACAAAACTGCCCGTGACCTTTGGAATGATTGGGAACATTTTCAGGAAGCTGAATTGACGAGAGAAGGATTGTGCAACCTTTCCGTGAGTTGGGTCTAAAATCGTCTTCAGTCGGAGGGTTCTGAGGAATTGAAGGGAAGAGGTATTGCGGAGCATGCGTATCTGTAGTCCGGTACATGTGTCTCTGTGTGTAGGGATTTGGACGTCAAGTAGGAGATTTCGAGAGGCTTATTCAAGAGCTCGCAAGCATTGTGGCCTTTTGTGCTTGTATCATCTTTTATGGAAGGATTTGCGTGGTCGAAGAGCCTCGCGAGTACTTGGGACGCTATTTGCGAGTAAGAGTCTGCTTTCCTTACGCGGAGCATTTTCTTAATTCGTTAGTGCGTTGAGTTATTAGTTTCCGTTGAAATCTTTAGAAAAGGTCCAACGATCTTTGTTTCAGCAAACAATGGTTTCAAATTTGCGTTGAAGCCCAAGGTGGCAATTATCACAGTTTCTTCATGTACGGGTCCAACATTGGCTGAAATAAACCAACGCGTACCAGAATACGAATCAGAAGTTAGCGCCTCAGCATTCTCTTGAAACCAGCTTTTGTATGTTTCTCTATAGCTCTGTGGTGGCTTCAAATCCAGCAAATTGTATCACGGTATGCGGGTCCCAAAGAGTGGCACTATTATGGATGATTTCATCAGATGTTTCTCAGAGGCTCACAACCCCGTTGGTTTTATGCGGCAAGTAAAGTGCAGTTCTGAATTGCTTGGACGCTTGATATAACTTAGGTAGGCTGTTTAGGGTTTCAGAAGAGCCACATCGGTCACTTATATCAATTATAAGCTGGAGATCTCACCTACTGCGTTACTCTTCTATACTTCATCATGAAATTGGCGAATCTCGGTTAGAATTGACTGCACCTACGGAAGCCTTATGAGGTCGAAATATCATGTTCTGTGGCGTCCTTGTACTCCAGCACTTGAGAATTTTGTCGTCTGGTGTGGGCTTGCCTTTGTGAGCTTGAAGAAATGCCGAGGCGGACACCCACATTATCATCGCCTGTGTCGCAACTTCGCTTTTTGAGCAGCGGATGGGTTTGCCTTGTCGTCCTTTAGATCCCCAATCTCTGTAATGTCTGCTCATACCCAACATCCCGAGATTCAGCAGAATTATGTCCGATGCTTCTGCCTGATATTTAACATTTCACATCCCGGAAATTGCGGAAGTATGAGTTTCTATCGGAATAAGTACTCTACAGCCTGCAGATTACGCAAGAATTGTAGCGTTGGGAAAGGATTTCTCAGCAGCCTTCATCAACAAGAGAGAATCTACCGTACCGTACACGGGTTAGTAAGCTTGCCAGTACCCCTCAGTCAGCAACCGTTAGCGTACTGTCGCTTGAGTTGTTTGAAGCGACTGCTGAAAGAAAATGTGTTGAGTCTTTGTTAAGAGATTGAAGTCTTTATGTTCTCGTAAATACGTCTCACGAACGTGCAAAGATCTTGTTCCAACGTCATGAGCATCTTGTGGGCATTATGTGGACACCATTCGTGCATCATGCGGGCGCATATATTGCAGGCATTATGAACTCATGTGATCGCCAAAGGGCACACTTCGCCTTGAATGTCTTTTAGATCTCACCACTGGGTGTAGCCTGGCTTAACATGAAGTTGTTCTTATCGAATCCCAATTTCGCCCTGGCTCATTTTTTAGATTCCCTGTTGGCACCCACCAGATGATAGTATTCAAAGAGTGGTGTTTCAAATTGCTCTCTCTGCATAGCAACCTTGAGGTTTGTTCTTTATCTGAATTGTGCATGTGGGTATGGACTTTGGGTAAGAAGCTGCTTCGAATTTCGGAGACGAGTTTACCTGTGTTTTTTCAAGGTATTGATACCCATATCTTTGTGTTTGGTTCGCTGATTCTCAAATCGAAATCTTACCATGTGCACGCTAATTAGTGTAGCGAGAAATAGTTGGTTGCATGGTTACCGCTTCTGTATTTCAGTAGACATCATGCTAATTCCGTTGATCAAACATGTAATTGATTCAGACAAAAAGATTTTTTTATCTCGTTCTAGATAATCCTTTCTTTGTTGTGAGCATTTGCAGCAGTGCGAGCCACTTGATACTCCTCTCGTATCCTTATAGATAACTAACTCATCCTGTAACAGCTTGTGGTCAGCATCTGCTCGTCAAGTTGGTCATATTCAAAAATTGCCTATCTGCATGAGCTAAGTCAAGTTTTGCACGTTGAGCATGTTGGGTTTCTGCAAGGCATACGCTTGTTGATGTACTGAAATAACGGCGGGCATATATGTTATTTCCACCACTGCAGAGAACACAGTGTGGTGCTCTTACGTCTGTAAATTGATAGTCAACCATTGCCTTAGAATTTTCTGATGCACTCTGTCCACAATTCATGTATTTTCTGTAGGTAATCAATGCACAGTACAGGATCTACGTAAATGTCATCAATATGTTATCAGTGGACTTGTATTACGACTAATTTTTTTGCTAAATGGTGTGAGTAGCTACTAGCAAAAATTTGAGATGGCGAAGAGCAGGGCCGTAATATTATGCTAGGAACAAAATGGGAACGAGGTTGGTCTTCTTAACGGGGATCAGACAAAACACATTTTGTGCAGGAAAGAGAATATGAACGGGTTTGATCTTATTTTGAGTTTTTGTTAAGCAGCTGTGTACATCAGAATCATCTTCTAAATTAGATAGTTTCAGAGTGACAAGTTGAAGATGATGTCATTGTGGTTTGAGGCAGAAACGAGTACAATTAGGAGAACATCGACACATTTTGTTGGTGTTCCTCAAATTTTAAGGCACTGATGGCTATATTGCTCTATTTCGACTGAGATGGCATGACCGGGTCGCTGATTCAGTTCAAGTTCATTTTGTACAATTTAAGGAATTGCACTAGACTTAGCACTCTCGCAATGGCTGTGATATTCAGCAATGAGATAAGCCGTGAACTTGCGTGCTCTAGCTGTTGGAGTTGTGGTCTTGTGAGGATCGTTGTTTGTTGGCCGTTCTCTTAGGCTCCCGCACCCCATCGTGGCCGGCATTCATGAAGAAGCTAGATCCTTTGTTACTGGAGGTCCCAATCTCGTCCCCAATCAGAGGGAATATGCAGGCTTTGATTCGCGGTGGCGACGATCCCTTGGACGTAGGATGTCCGGCTGTTCTAGGAACTCCAGTACTTTCTGGTTTCTTACACGCCTGGCGATTCCTGAGTACGAAATTCTTCTGCGCGGTGCTGCCTCTCGTGCCTAGCCTTCCTAACAGTTCGATAGACACCTATTTCAAATTCATATTCGTAGCTCTGTCTCTCTCCATCAGAAGTTTAAATTCTGCTCTAAGTTCGGTCACTCAGGGTGGAGGAATATTTGACAAGAATCATGTCATTTAACGGTCTAGGGAATCATTAGCAACCGACCTTGCAAAGGAGGTAAGGATTTGCAATCCTGTTCTGTGTGGAACGCAATTGGGTGGAGGAATGGCAAGGCATAGGGTTTTCTTACCACGTCGTGATCGGGTGCGGTCTTGATTTGAAACGTGCTTAGAACCCCTCTTGCTTTTTATCTTCGGTGTGTTGGGGGCTCCACTGGTCGTTTGTATTGGACTTGGAGGTGAGGAATTTCTGCTCGAGGTGTCCCTGCCGGAATTGCTCTTCGATGGGGTTTTCGAGGCTCTTACCTTACCTTCCATTGTCACTTCCGCAAATCTTAAGCCTCCTGTTACAAAAGCACAACCTCCAAGTCACGGCAGCTGCCGTTAAGCATCACTTCACAGGGAGTGTTTGTATATTCTGTTCTTACGAGGAGATTTTCTCGGATTCTTCTTTCATAGTCGAAAATGGACTCAGCTCTATGAAATTCGTCGTCCAAACCAATGGTCGTTTGTTGTGGCACGAAGGAGCCGTTTCTTACAGACGTGACGTTTGAGGATGTCAGGAAACTGAGAGTTGCTTCGTCTATTCTGTCATTACTTCTTGAAGAGGCTACTTTTGGATCTTTATAAGTTTTGAGTGTGGAGCATTGCTGCTAGCAGATAGAGTTGGTGGCGGCATTGCGGCAGTAGCCAGTTGTCTAATAAGGCCTTCTTCGAACTGTCCCGAAGAATTGGAATATGGAGCTGTTTATTGATTTATCTATTTCATATCTCACTTTTATTTATTCTCTGGTCTGAAAGTATAACATATCTGTCTCTCAAGTGAATGGAAACTAACAACAGCTCCACAATCATTATCTTCATGACATTAAAAAGAAGTTTACAGTATGATCTGTTTGATAGACCTTATTGTTTTCTTGCTAACTGAAGTTTGTAGCATTATCCCAACAAGTAGTGATTTGCAAAAGATCATACGTAGGCCTTTAAGTTTGTTGTAGGTCCACGCACAACTAAGAGGAGCAATTCGACAATCTCTCTCGCCCTTGATTGCACTGAATCTGATAGCGCCGCCTGTGTTGAGAGTAGCCATTTCGTGCAGTTGTTTGGATTTGTGCTTAGTACTCCGGCGAGATCTAGTACATGTGGTTCTCCTAGTGCTCTAAACAAGTTCTGCAAAATAGTTGGTTTCTAGTTTCTGAGGTTCAATAGAGTCATGTGCACCTCATTGATTGCACAACTGGATTGCTGAACTTTACCGCGGCTTCACATATTGGTCGTTACTCTCAACCTTGTCTAAAAGCCTAATCTGCAACTCACCCTCGAAAACCAACAGCCCGTTGACTGATCGCATGTTGTGGGTCCAATCCTAGGCTCAACAACTCAACAATTGATTGAAAAAATGGGAAGTTGGTAGTGTTGTAAATACCACAAATTTTTGTCGCTTGCTCTCTCTCTCTCTCTTGAAGGAGGGGTCCATTCTCTCGTTCACTCTTCTTTACACTTCGAGCTTCCGTGAGCTTGTCAGTAATATTCACATTCCTGAACCCAATTTTAGCAAGATCCTACAGCTCTTTAAACGAATATTTTTTAATGCATAAACTCACAGAATGTATTACATGGAAATTCCCGCCACTAAGCAAAGAAGCAAAGTCTTATATTCTTTATTTTGTCACTTTACATTTGCATAAATCTAGAGAACAATACATGATCCAAAGAGTAATGAGGATATCAAACTTCTATCTACATTATTATTATAACCTATTCTATTGATCTTAATCCTATGTATATGTTAAAATGCATATTTTAAACTACACTTGGAAAAAGTTAAGAAACATGGATTTTAAGTGATGGGGCTAAAAAAAGTTGTAATACCTACTTTAAAATTGTTATTTGTTTGAATTAGACTATTAAAACCATGGTTGCAAAATAGGTTATAAGAATTAGTAGGAATGTCCATAGAGATTTTGGTACATTGTGTAACTCTTAGTTTTTTTTAATAAGATTTAGTGCTTATGACAAGGCATAGATTTGGATATAAGAGATTTTATAAACTCCAATTGTAACCTATTATGTAATAAATCAATGCTTGAGAAATCTCTTAGACATTTGAGTCTTAAGAATCGTCAATGATTTTTAAAAGATATTCTAACTAGTGCTTGGATAAAGATGTATGTTGCCTAATCATTTGAATTTATATATGAGAAAAAGATGTCATCTTAAATTATTTTTTTAAAATATGATAGTGGTATAATTTAATAAGCTTGAATTTAGAATAAAAAACATAATATATTGTAAATTTAATTATACTTATATTGTTGTAATATGAGTATATATCAATTTTTGTTGGTGTAGACCTAACTCCAATGTTGTTGATTGGTTCATAGTCCAAATAGCTCATGAAAACCTTGTTGGAGAAGAGACTAGGTACTTTTAACTTTTGCAAGATGTTCTTAAAGTGGATAATTTTCTTAGCTTCATCTTGAAGAATTCTCTAATTTACTTTAGTTTTAGAGATTTATTTTTTATTTTTTTTAATTTGTTTCTTATTTGCAAAATTTATTGTCTTTTTTACAAGTAAGAATATGAAATCTTCTGTATTATAGTAAAAATTCTTAAAAGTGAACTAATTTACATTAATGTAGCATCAACAATGTAGAATAAAGTGAATTTTGGAAGAATAAGAGAGAATAAAAGAAAAGTCTCATTAATTGATATTTCTATAATTAGTAATATACTTAAAATATTTTATGTTATAAATTATTATATACCAATAAACATGTTTTGGATAGAACATAAAACATCTCACAAATCTAATTACATGAAAGAGATCTTTAACATGTATTGATAAAATGTAACAAAAAATCAATTGTATGTCAATAAATTTGTTCAAGAAAGTTGAAGGTATTGCTATTAAGAAAAAAACAACAACTTTTTTTAATAATGGATTTGCACGAAGAGAAAATTTAAGCATGTTAGTATCAATAAAGATTTGATCAACATAGATGGCTTCATGAATAAAGCTTCTGGTTATAAAAAGATAAATTCTACTTGAAGGTAGTGCTTGTGTCACAGACATACTCATGTAAGCTACTAATTACATATATAAATAGGTGGAAGTAAGTAAAAGTAGGTAAAAGTAAGTTAATTCTATAGTATTTGATATGAAAGCTTCCTAGAAGCTTAGTAGACGCTGCTTTGACTTCATAGGTGTCTTTAATTGACTTTTTGGATTAGAAACGTGGTCAACAAGTTGGCCATGTGCCACACATATTGTTAGCTTGAAGATCAACTTAATTATGTGGTCCACACATAGAAAAACTTGCCTTGTAAGTCAAGGCATGTATCCTACAAAGTCAACACATATTGGAGGTCCTATAGAACGTCACCACGTAGCCCCTAATTAGATAGTATATATAGAGACAAGAGTAAAGCCTTCTTCACTCTTGTCAACTCCTTTCTTGCTTCCAATGTAGTTTCAAGGGTCTCTAATTTTCTTGTCTTTTGGCAATAGCCATTCTATTTTTTCTTTCAATATACATACTTATTTATTTATATTTTGTTACCTTTCTTTAAGTGAAGGCTCACTTATCTGAATTACTTTTTCATCAAGTTCTTGTCCTTGACAGATTGACAAGAGTACACTTACAATATCAGAGCTTTGTCTAATCTTGATTAAGAGTGGATTACCCCTTTTTCTTGATAAGATATAAGCATATTAGAAGTTGCGGATTACTCTCTTCTAAATTGATATTGTCGTTAGTATTTTCTTTGTTCTCAAGTCCTCTCTTCTATTTGTCTTGAGCGATATTAGACATCTTCTCTCTTCTAAGTGTTATCATGGCAGAACTTGTTGAAATGAAGAGTGCAATGGTATAAATGCAAGAGCAATTGAGGGAGTTAATGCTTGCGATGCATCAACTCAATTTACCACCATAAGGAGCAACAAGATTTGCAGGAAGTGAAGATATAGAAATGGTTCGAGCTGCTTCAACATCTGCACCAAACCATGTCTTTTTTACTATAGTGGAACGTCCTTCAAATATTGGAGAATCAAGAATTACCCTACACGAGAAGTTTGATGGCACCAGATCTAAGTTTCGAGGATTTATCAATCAAGTGCAACTTGTGATTGAACTTCAACTCCAAAGCTATCCAACTCTAGGATCGTAAGTTAGATTCATTGATACGCTTCTTTCAAGTTTAGCACTATCGTGGTTTTGTCACGGACACAGAAATACAGGCTCGAGATCTAACAAGAAGTTCAAGAAGAACTAACAAGAACTAGATTAATCAGATGAATACAAGAACAATACCAAAGAGGTGAACTAGAGCTCTAAGAGATGTGTTGTCGAGATTGAAGAACTCTTCAGCCTCGATTCCAATATATACTCCTATTTAAGAAGCTTCTCAAGTAACTTCTATCAACTAGAAAGCTTCTAGAAGGTTCCACAGACTTGCTTCTAGAAGGTTCTAGAAACTTGTCTCTAGAAGATTCTAAGGACTATGTCCCTAACATCTTCTACCAATTAGGAAGCTTCTCAAGCAATTTCCATCAACTAGGAAGCTTCTAGAAGATTCCGGAGACTTGCTTCTAGAAGGTTCTAGAAACTTGTCTCTAGAAGGTTCTAAGGACTATATTCCTAACATCACCCCCTCCTTTAGCTTCGAGATCTTTGAGAAGCAGTGTTGTTATTAATCAGTATCAAAGCAAGAAAATGAAGATCTATCGCATATCGTCTACTATGAACTCCAACTGTTGTTCACGAGGTAAGTAGTTCATTGGCCCTTGAAGCCAATGGTAGTGGCCCACGCCTTCGACTTCTGACCAAGCATGAACTTCCGTGTCCTCATTGTAAAATTATCTTGTAAATATGCCTTCTAGCTGACCATCGTAAGTACGCTCGAACTCAAATATAATAACCAATGATCGATTACTCGATATCCTCCGTCGTCGTCATAGTGTAGGCAGTTCTTTATCTCGGGGTCACCTTCGTGAGCTAGTTGGTTGAGATAATTTGACTGGCATAATATCTATCTCTTGGCTATCCATATCACAAGACCAAACTATGGCTACTAAAAAAATTCTACTTTATCTTGGAGAAAATAACTACATCAACTACGAATTTTGGTGGTGCTCTCCCCCTTTCTTATATTCTTGGGTGAGCAAGCTTCAGAAAGAAGCTATCGTTGAACCGGCTTAGGTTTATGAGGATGTTGTTGATGAAACTCATATACCTTTTGCGGCGCATTGGCGAGATTTTCAGCTGGCTCCCACGTTCGCTCATTAATATCGTAGCTGCACTAATGAACAAGATACTCCAACTTGCCTCACCTTCACTGTGAATCTAGCACCTTTTCAACCTCGTATTCCTTGTGGTTCTCGATCTCAATACTAGGTGGCGGACATTGTACTCTTCCAGGAAAAGACAACTCTCGATAAGGCTCCAACAGAGAAACATGAAAGACTGGATGTACCTTCATAGAAGCCGATAATTCCAGACGGTACGCCACTAGATTGATTTGCTTCTGGATGATAAATAGTCCCAATCTTCGATAGTCCAACTTATCACATGGTCGCTTGGTCTTGATATTTCGTCAAAGAAGCCATGCTTTATCTCTAATTTTGAAAGTAGGTACTTGATTTTGAAATCTATCTGCAGATGCCTTGTAGGATTCTTGAGCAGATTGTAATTAAAGCTTCAACGTATTTTGAAGCTCTAATAGTTTTTTTGCAAATCCTTCAGCTGCTGGATTGTTATTTGTTGACGAATTCAATAAATCAAGC